TTGAATCAAAGAATTTCATCAAATTTTCCATGTGTTTTAAATTCAATTCTATCACCTCTAACTTCTTAATTAATCCTTTGACAAGTCAAATCCATCCTTAGAACTTCAAAAACCTCTTTAAATCAAGAATTAATTTCTCAATCCTTAATCAAATTTCCTTTCAAATTTTCTCTGCTTAATGTTTTATGCTTATATAAGCTTACCTTAAGCTTATATAATACCCAAATACTCTATCCCAACTTATAAATTCAAGAAATTAATCAACTGAAGCAAATTTACCTTATAGACTTGAGCTTGAACCCACGAGAAGAAGAAAGCAAGAAGAAGAAAGAAAGCTTCCAGATATCTCTATTCCCACATGTTATCTCCTTAAATAAAGGAAATAAAATATTTCAAACTAAATTACCATAATACCCTTATAATCCTTTCATATTACCCTTTAATCCAATACTGAAATATCCTTATTAAATCCTTAAACTTTTCAATTTTCCTAAATTGATCCCCAAATTTCAAAAATTCTTATTTTAGTCACTAACTCATATTTAGGATGTTACACACTTAACCTCATAATTTTCGGTCCTAAGATGCCTTCCTTGTGCACAAGAACAACCAACTCTTTCATTTTTATGGATTTTATGCATCAACCAACCAAGCTATCTCTAAGAGTTAGGAGCTTGTCCTCATCAACAACACCAACAATAGGATCCTCTGCATGACTATCATCCTCCAATCTACTCTTATTCTCAGCTGGTTTTTGACCTGAAAGCTTCTTCCTCCAGAAAGCTACACGAGGTAGAAATCTTGCCATGGCAACTCTAATTTTACTGCCATGAATCCAGGATCTATCAGCACCGAAGATAGCCTTCCTAACGTCCTCCCATCTGGTGAAACAAACAAGACCAAACCTATTACCTCCCTTGCTTATTTTATTAGGTATGAAAGAATCAACCACCTCGCCATATTTATCAAATAATAACCAAAGGCCTTGATGATGAAGGAAATCTGGGATATTAAAGATGATAACTGTTGACACCATGTTTACCAACGCCTTAGCACACCTCAAACCAAAAAACCACCCACCACACCTCTTCCAACACACACAAGGTGAGCAAGGTGAGCCATAATTTATTATTTTCGTTCCTATGATATTTTCACAATATTTTAGCCATTGAAATTGTTTAATTGCATCATCCTTAACCCTAAAATTTACCTTAAACCCTAAACCATAAACATTAAATACTAAACTTTACATCCTAAACCCTAAAAACATAAACCTTAAATCCTAACTTAAAACCCTGAACAATAGTAAATTTTTAAATATTAATACAATTAAACAACTTTAAGGGTTGAATTGATACAAAAATATCATAGTGGTGAAAATGATAAATTGAGTCTACCATATACAGGGACAAAAGTAGCCCTTAAGCCAATTTTAAATTATCTTATATTTTGATTATAAATTTTTGTTTCCTTAAAATTTTATAAGTTCCCATGATATAAAATTATATGTATGTCTCTATATATACAAATATATGCTTTTGATTAATTTGATACCTTTCTATTATATTATATTAATCTAGCTTTTATGTTATTCTAAATATCAATTTAAGCACGATTCAAGTGACCGACTATTAGCCACAATGATATGACAGATCTTCGAGCCATTGAAGGGATGGAAAGGAGTGAGCTTTTAAGGCGTAGTGTTAAGGAATATTCATAAGCAAAAGTTCGAGTTGTAATTGTGATATACTGAAATTTCATATGGTTTGTCAGTCGTTTCTTTAGTGATAGTCCGTTAAATCAGTTGTAGAGTTATTTTTGTTACCTAGTTGTGTTATTATATTTTCCTCCAATTAGGTGTAGGGAGGTTTTTAATGAGACACACAACTTAGGTATTGAATTTATTTCTTCAAATCCTTAATAAAATAATCTTTGTTGAGAAAAAAAATGGCATATGTGATAAAGAAATTGTTATTCCTTGAGAACCCAGATTTGAGCACCATAGATGCTAAGGGTGTGAGCGTTCATTGTCGAAAGGTTGAGTATTATCTTTAAATAAATATTGTCTTGTACTTACCTCAGATTGATAAAAAAATATCAATTTAAACGTTAAATATTAACTTAGATCTTTATTATGTAGTGATTCAAATTCTAATTAAAAATTAAATTGAATTTTATTATAATTATAACTGTTGAAAATTATTTGATGATTAAGTTTATGCAAATGATATTTCTTATGAATTAAGAATTATTGGTGATTGAATTTATTTTCTCTATAAATATAAAGTAAGTCTTGTAAAACTAAAAAAAATATTTTTAAGACATGTAGTCTTTTTTTATATTCGTTAGAGTCTATATTTCATAAATGAATTTTGTAGAGACGATGAGAAAGTCTTTTAAGATATTATGAGTTTTTGTGATAGATATAACGACTTTGAGATATAAGAAATATTATATATATTTTGAGATATAATTTTTTGTATATATTTTATTCTATATTGATGTTGCGTAGAATGGGTCATTATATATTGGCTGAAAAACCCTAATCAGAAGAAGAATCTGCAGTGGAATGAGTCATAGTATATACGGTTGAAAAAAATCTGACAAAATTAGCAATCATATTCATAGGCACCATCTACAGTAATATCTTCTGTTGTTGTTTGCCTCTGGCCGCTGAGGGATTCCAAGGATCTCTATTTCAACATGATTATATAATTTTGTCAGCAGCATGTATATATGATGATAAATCGTAAACTAAAGCACTCTGGCTTCATCCACTCACATATTTCTTCCTTTTTACTATCAAAAGCAAAATGGTTGCAGCAAAATAGGGTTTTATTTTATACATATTTTCCTAGCAGAAACTTGTTTTAATCCTACACATATAAACAAATACGTTACGCATTTAATCAAACATAAAATTTAGATGAATTTAAGGATTAAAAGTTTGTTCCTACAATAGTACATAATATTTAAATATGATTGTTGGTCTAAACCGTCACTTAGCTCACAAGAAATGTATATAGCAATCCAATAATGCTGCGCTACGCATGACACATGAATACACCATTTTTCAAAGCACGGACGTTTGCTTGAAAGCAAGAAAGCTGTGTTTTTTTCTTGGATCACCGACGAACCATTAGCTCCACTATACCACACCCGTCATTTGAACTTAAAATTACTTAAACGAAGAAAGAGAGACTTGTACTCCTAAGGAGAATGTAATTGGGAGTGTCTCGTAGTCTATGTACTCCTAGACGACTGTTGACAACGAGACAGATTGAAATAATTAGGGTTTTTCAAGTCGTTAATTTATTAAACTATGAATTGGTACCATGAATAATTAAGGATGCGAAATTCCTTAGAAAATTGCTTTCTTAAAGTAGTTGTGTGATGTAAGACGGAAAGACAGGAAGTTGGTGGTGGTGGTGTTGTGGAGAGAGTTGAGAGGATGTTTTCATGGCGTGTATAAAGAGAGGCTAAGAGTTTTAGGAATTCTGAAAAGAATCATATGCACATCCGAATATCTATGAAGAATTTATTATAAATATAAACAAAAACTCTTCTAGAAAGAATCATATGCCATCTTACTGAGTATTAAATACGACCTAACCCATAGTGATTTTTTTATTAAGATAATGAATACAAAGTAGTATATGTTCTAAATACTCTCAATCATTTAACAACGAACGCTCAATCACTATGTTGCAATCGCTGGTACGAACCCGTAACCTTTGAGAATAACGACGATTCATTTAACTATGGAGATAAATTGGTTCGTGCAACTCATAATAAATTTTTGTAATTAGAGACGAAGGTATTAGGGTATAAAAGGGAATTATACATCTTTTTTTATCTGATAGTAATTTTAGTTTTCGTCAAATTAAATATTGTCCCTCTCAAATTTTAGGTTAATTACTTATGATGTCTCTATTAACTTTGAAGTGAGATGATTTAATATTTCTTGTTGTTTAATCATGACTTTTATTTTTGTCTCTAATATCTGATTCAAGTCGATGAATGAATTAAATACACACCACATATCAAGAAAACTAAGAACGTGAAAAGGGGAAGAAATGGAAAGGAAAATGTGAGGATGGGAGTGCATGAGTGATCATTTTTGTCTTTTAATAGTATTTCTTTTTGCGTCAAGGGTGATCATAGTGTAAATGTCGAAATATTATTAGACTGACGTAATCTTTAACATCGACTGATAATATCTATCCATCTTATTTGTTAAGGTGAATTTTCACCCTTTTCCTATATGTAAATAAGGAGTGACTAGATATTTCAAAATTATTTTGAGATAGATAAATTTTATTGGTTGAAACCACAGATGACGTAGTGAACTATAGCTCTCTAATAATTTATCGCAAACGTGGTTTTACATGATTTGAAAGGCTTTATCCTTTCCATCCTTCATCAGTAATATTTAGACATGGATGAACTCGTTGTCTTCAAGACTCAACAATCAGCTCTCTTTCCCTTAATATTCCATTCTTTCGTTTTTATAATATAACAAATTAGTTGTATTATAGTTTTCTCTTATATTACACCGGGTTTAGAGGCTGTATTTAGACATGTAAGGCAGTATTTGTTTAAAATTATTTTTAAAATCACACATACATTTATTTGAATCTATAAAGCCTAGAGAATAACATTCTCCTTAACCACTAAGATTACCTGAAAAATTCTATCACCTTACATTTTTTTCTTGAAGATGTTGAAAATCTCTTCAACAATATTATAATAACAAATATATTATAATACTAAATGTGAAACACATGACATGATTTATACACTAGCTAATATTGATGGTGTGATTTGTGTACCTTGCCACGAAATCCTTTACACACACCATACATCTAAGTTTATGAAATTCTAAGTGGTAGAAATTAATATCAATTTGATTGTAATTGGTTGATCTATATAGATCCTATGTAGACCTAGCTAGAAAACATCATGCGTTGAGACAAGATATATGTATAAAAAGGAACATGATAGTCAATACGAGAATGATACATGTCCCCTTGAAACATCTATCCCCTACACATGGATCAAAACAATTCCATTGATACCATTGTCCAAGATATATCTAGCCTTTACTAGTTGACTCGAAAACTGAGTCGACTCTCGTGTGGAAGTGAAGAGCACAAATTCCAAAACTTGCAGAAAAGTATCAGTTTGAAGGAGATTCGCTTGCCGTTGCCTTTGTTTAGGGTTTTCTTTTTGGAAGAAATAATGGAAGGAGGAGGAGAGCCCCAAATTATGAGATACAAATTCCACAGGCCATCCATGAAATGGGGTTTCCACAATATGGAGAAAACCAGATGAGTTTCTGTCCCCGGCGCAACCTTCTCAGCCTCTCACCACCACCACCAACTCCACCGCCATGGCGGCGTTTACCGATCATAACAGCCAGGTATTTGGGATTTCTGTATATATACTTTTTTTCTGGTAATTTTTGTATCTGATATGGGTACTTGAAAACAATTTAGGTAGGGACCTTGGAGCAGACCCGTGTCAATAATATCAACGATGGAAACAATAATTCATGGTATTCTTCATATCTTTGCTCTATTTATTTATACGCTTCATGTCTTCTTTATAGTCTTTCCATAATCCTTAGATGGAAGACTAGGGAAGGTTATTGCTTGCTTCACTTGCTAATGGAATGACACCACACATCCATCTATATTGCTCTAACTTTCTCTTTCTTCTTAGTGGACATAGTTTGTACTGATTTCCACTACAAAAAGGTTGAGAAAATTTGGGTTTTTTTTTTGCAGGTGGATGAACTCAGCTTCGGGCAAAGTGAAGGCGAGGAGAAAGCTTAGAGAACCGAGGTTTGTTTCCAGACGAGAAGTGAGGTTGATGTGCTAGACGATGGTTATAAGTGGAGAAAATATGGGCAGAAGGTTGTCAAAAACAGTCTTCATCCCAGGTATACTCTTGCTTATCACTCTAAATAATAATATCGACTTCTACGAACCTGATAATTAAAATGAATCCATTGACGAAAATTCATTGAAGGACAAATTTGGTGCCATAACTCCAACCAATACTGTCCATGGTTTGATTAATGTTAATTCATGTGTAGTTAAGAATCATTCATGGATGCATTTCACTTACATACTAGGTTTAATAATAACAGCAAAACCCGAGTCTAAAATAGATTAATCCCATGTTTAGGGACCACTGAGTTAAAAAATTTAAATTATTCAAATTGATTAATCCTATTTTATAACCTAAACTTTGTTTGAATTTTTTTCAACTCCATTTTATAAACTGAGTCTAATTATTCGAGTTTCTGTTTAAATTTAATAGTAAATATTATAATATATGTATATTTAATTCCAATCTAACGATTTTTCATAACCAATACATACATATATGTTCTTCATATTTTTTAAGTGATATCTATATTATACATAGTCGATGAACTTGACTCGAACATAAAATCAATTTAATTATTAAAAA